CCCCCACTCCCCCACTCCCCTTTTAATTGAAAGGAGGGTCATGCAGAGGTAAAATTTGGGTAACGTGCAAGCCAGAAGCCATGTGTCTCAGATGCTGTAGTGATGGTCGATCTCAGTCTGCATCAGTCTTGCCCAGGCTCTTTTTAGCATTCCAGCTTCTGCTAATGGAAATCAAGCCCATTATGGTAAATGTAGGAAGCAAGTACATTAATAGTGGGCACTGACATTAATTCAAATGGTAAACAATTCAGAACCGTTCCCAGTACATACTAGATTATGTATCATCTTACCGGCTGCAGCAGAGGGCCATTTCTTTCACTGGTTTCTAAAGTACAGAAGATTGTCTGCCGCGCAGTTTTCTGCTTTGATAAACAAAACTATTTGCGAATCCTGCTTTGCTGCCCGTCACTCCTATGTACTTTGTGCCGTTGGGGTCTGGCTGCCACCATTGCGATGCAGATCTGCTCCCTACTTTAAAAGAGATTATTTTGGTGGAAGGAGATGTGGGAAACGGCCTGATGCAAAAGGTAGAAAGAAAATAGAGCTTATTTGTATAGTAACACGTGCGTTAGAGGAATGCCTCCCTCCCCGGCTGGGCGCTCCCCCATTTTCTCTCTCACACACGTATATACACACACACTTTAACTGTGCTTTTGTGTTTTGTCAGAATTAATGAGAAAAGTTCCCTTGCCCTAGGGGTAATTAGTGTCCTTGGAGTTAAATAAGCTAATACTTAGACACCTCTGGCACAGGCAATTATGTTTGTGTATTGAATAATTGATTCAAAGAGGGGGGGAAGGGGCTGCTAATCAGATCTGAGCATAATGAATTGATTTAATTAACAGGGGAATCTGAGGGTCCCTGGGAAATGTGTGCATTTATTCAGCAGTAGGAGAGAGCGCAGAGCACATAAATTGAGAGAGAGAGCGAGCGGGCGGGAGGCAGGCGGCAAGTGCCTCTGCTTTCCGTGATAGGTTCGCAGCTTTCCTCCCTCCCGCCCCCCCCGCCTTTGAATATAATTTTAGATTTAGAGTGAAATCGAGAGAAAAGCACTTTAGAAGCCGGGAAAGCTCTCGCAGCCGCAGCAGCGAAGCGGGGAGAGGTTGCGAGCCGCCGTCTGCGACCGCACCGCGGCGATTTCTGACAGCGCGGGTTGCGGGAGGACGGAGCCGGGCCGCGGTGCCCCGCACAGAGCTCCGCACCGAGCCCCGCCGGCCCCGCACCTAAGCTGGCCGCCGAGTCGCGCCGGCCCGCCTCTCTGGCCGCTCCCAGCGCTCGTCCCGGGGCAGCGCCTGCCGCCCGAGCTCCGCAGCCCAGCCCGGAGCCGCCCCGGAGCTCCCCAGCCAGCCGGAGCGGCGGCGGCCGCCCCCGGCGCCCGGGACGATGGTGCTGGACAAGGAGGACGGTAGGTGGGCCGGGCTGCGGGGAGGGAGGCGGGAGGGAGCAGGCCGTCCCGCAGCCTCACGAAGGGCCCCGCGGCGGCCGCTCCCCGCCGGGGGTTCGCCGGCTGCGGCGCGTCCCGGCCCCGCTGGCCCCGGAGCGTCCCCGCCCGGCCGGGAAGCGGCTGTGCGCCGTGTGCGGAACTCCAACTCGGCAAAAGTGAGTACGGGGCGGCGGGCGGGAGCGCCTTCGCGCTGTTCTTCCGCGGGTTTCCCTCTCTCCTGTTCTCCGCTCTCTTTTGGACGCGGAGCCTCTGCCCCGGGGAGGTTCGAACCCGCCCGCCGCGGAGCCGCCGGCAACCGGGGAGGGGCCGCGGGGCTCCAGCGCTTCCCGAGCCGCGGCCCCGCACCGCCCGGCCCCGGGAGCCGCTGCGGCCGTCCCTCGGAGCCTTCCGTGTACGGCCGCGGCGCTGCAGCCGAACGCGTGCGTGGAGCAGAAGAGGGAGCGAACTTCCCCGGCCCGGCAGAGCGCCGAAGGACCCTCTGGTCCAACCGCCCCGGGCGGAAGGTAAAAGGGGGAAGCGACGGCAGAGGCCGGGATAATTCCTTGCGGCTGCGGAGCGGAGCTTGCCTCTCGAGGGTCACCCCGCTCAGAACGGAGCGATGCAAGTTTTGCTCGCATGTTGCGCGGAGTGTTGGGGGAGGGGGAAGGCTCGCATCCGTCGCTGTCCCCTAAGCGTAACAGTGAGCGGGGCGATGCCTTCGTGCCAGCTGTTTTCGCGCCTGCCGGGCGCTGCGGGGGTACAGGTGGGCTGCAGGGAGCGGGGAGCTCTGCAGGGGCTCCTAACGGTGCTCCTGACGCGCTCGTTAAAACACGAGGAGCTCGGGGTTGGCGCTGTGAGGAGACGAAAGCAAGTCTGCTGATTATCCAGACAGTTCTCAGCAGCCTCCTTCCAGGAGTCCTCGCGAGCGGCTGCATAGAAGGGGGTAACGGTAGCAGAGCTAAAGAGGAAATGAGTGCAGGGTGCGCCTGAAGGGAGTGCAGTGGGCAGCAAACCTCTGAAGAAAGGGATGTGGGGTGGCAGCACTCAGAAACCTTCTGTGCTGTTGGCCAGGCAGTTGTGCTCCAGGAGAAAGGGCACTCACTTCTAAAGGTGCTGGGGAAACAAGTAGGAGATGAAGTGGAGAGGAGAAACTCTTCTTGAAGAGCTCATTTTGCCGTATTGCATTTCTTCCCACTTGATTCAAACGGGCTCTGTGTGCCCATCTGTGGGTGTTAAAAGGGGATCTGCATTACTCCCATAACCGGCTCTATGTCTTATCACAGAGCAGTCTGATTTCTGCCACCTAAAAATCCTGCTGCTGTGGCCAGCATCCAGTTGCTCCCCTTGGTTTGGAGAGGGGTTTGCCATGTGGGGTTTTGGGGGGTGTTTCATATGTGGTCCTTACCAGCAAGGTGGGGTTCACAGCTGTCGCTGTGGAGAGTGCAGGCTGTTGGAGATGGTTTCCCCACCATGCTGGTGCACTACAAGAATGCTGGCTGACTTGCTGGTGGGGTCTGCAGCATGCTGCACTCTCAGGGCTGTGCAGCAAGCTGTGCTGGGGCTCAGGGGCAGTTGCCCACTCACCCAGCCTCTGGGTCTCATTGTAGCAGTGCTTTTGGAGCCGTGCAAGCCCTCATGTGACAGCCACATCATCCGTGGGGTCTGACAGCCACTGTACAGCTTTGTGAGTGAAAGCCTACCTTGGTGCCAAGGGAGGCAGTGGAGGTACTAACACCTTGCTGTGATCTTCACAGTTATCACTGGGGGCGAAGGGACAGGCTGAAAAAATAACAGCAATAATAATGTTTTGGACTCGATGTGTCGTGACATCGTGTCAAGTTGTGTCAGGGAGGTAATGTCGCTCCGTGTGTTGGAAGTGACATGGTGTAACCTGACTGAGACAGCATGACTCGATATTAGAAACTACAGCCTTACTGTTTGGCAAACATCGTCCCAGAATATGAGCTGGGGGGAGAGAGCTGGGGAAAGAACAGAAAGGTGGAGAGCAAAAAAAGCTTCCCCTAGGTTTGCGTTGCAGTCGCTTCCCCTGCGTTCATCGCTGCTGGGTTTGCTATGGGCAAGCCAGCCTACGCACCGCATTGAGGGAGCTCGGGATAATGAGACTTAAGATACTTCTCAAATACATAAATGTTTTGATTGCAAGGCCCAGATTTCTGCTTAAAAAAGTAAACTGACATGAGGCATCGTGATTAATTCCGACAGATTGTGTTAATTGTCGTTGGCTTTAATTGCGGTACAAACGCGTTGGGGGTTAGGAAACTTTTTAATTGTTGGTGTGTTAAATGAGTAAGCAGAGAAAGCACTTAGAAATAACCATTTTTGAAGGGAGTAGTGCAGCTTCTGTGATGCTATGAAGCAGCAAGGGACGAACACGTATGGGATCTGCACTGCATCAGCATACCGCTGTCTGCATTCCTCCCGTCAGTTCGCTCTGCCGCAGAACTCAGCTGCAGTAGGCTAACTTTATTTTTATCAGAAAACTGCCCCTTTTTTTGCCATTACCCAACAGTGTGAGTGTGAATGTGCCATGTGTTGTAGAACCAGCGTGTCCTCTTTTAAGGCGATGGGATTGAAACCTACGTGGACAATGATGGAACATTTTTGGAGTTCACAGATCTCTGCTGAAGGCCGGTTGTAACTTCAGAAGTATTAAGACGCTTCAAATGTAGAACAGCCCAAGTTCTTGTTAGCTTGTGCCCAATGCTTTCAACTATTAGCCTTAATCTTTGAGTGAACCCTCCTTCTTTTTGGGCCGTGATACTTATTGGGTTGTTGGGATCAAGTGTTTGGAATGAAAGGGAAGGAAATGCCACCTCAGCTGGGAATAAGGGATAGTACTGCAGATACGCAGCCTGAGCCTGGAGCGCATTGTACGGGTTGCGAAGGGAAAGAAGTTAAAATAGGAATATAGTGCTTTCTGTATCAAAGGCTGACCGAGGCGGTGCGGCTGGTGGCAGCGGAGCTGCTGACTCCGCGAGTTGTGCGAGCGCGGTCCGGATGAGGGCTGTTGCGGAGCGCAGGATCCGCACTTGTTGCTTTGCGTTCGGTCGGCGATGGCATCTCTGACAGGTGGGGCGGACCTGCGAGCTGATATATGCACCGTAATTGTGACCTAGCGAAAGTGGAGCTACAGTCTGCGGAGCGAGACAGTAGCGAGCAGCGGGCTGCCGCCGGGTACCACCTCCACTCGCTCTCCGGCGAGCCCGCGCGCTGCGCTGCGCTGCGCTCCGCCAAGGGGAGCGGCGGCCCCGAGCCCGGCGGGCCGCTCTCCGGGAGGCGCCGGGCCGGGTCGAGGCGCGCGGTGCGTCCTGCAGGGGGCGCTGCCGCGCCGCATCCCGCCGCCAGGGGCGGGCGCCCGCCTTCCCCGCTGCGCTCGGGGCCGCGGGCCGGCCTGCCGGGGTGACGGGCGGTGGGTTCAGCCCGAAGCCAGAGGGAGACGCTTCATAAAGCTGCGTGCCGGCTCGTTGCGGCGGCCGGGGTTACGGGCCGTCAGAAGAGATCGCATTAAAATAGGTTATGCGCTGTAAATTGAGCCGTTGAGGAGGCGAGAGCCGGAGGAACCGCTCCGATCGTCCTTCTTTCTGAATTGCAGTTTTAGTTCCTCGCAGTTCTGCGGCGCAGAAGTAGGTGAGCCCGCAGTCTATCCCTCAGAGCGCTTTACCCCCCGAGCGCCGCTCTGCCGGAGCGCCATCCGTGTTAAACGCCGGACGGGAGGCTGTCGGAGCCCCGCGCCGCACGAGGACTCTCCCGCTCCGGAGGTCCGCGCTGCCCGAGCGTAGCCCCGCGATGATGGTGCTGGAGCAGGACGACGGTAGGTGGGGGAGCGGTGCCGGGACGCGGCCGGGAACTGCGTGCCCGCGCTTGTCAGCTCCTGTCGGAGGGACCCGAGGGTTTACCCCGAGCTCTGCGTGCAGAAGCGGCTTCGTTTTTATTTTTATTGTTACGTCTGTTTACATTATTCCTTCTCGAACTCCCTCTGATACATCCATTTTAGCCAGTTTATTTTAACAGCTCTCAATGTAAACCTGATGTTGAGATGTTTTCCTTCCCGTTTCGTGTCATTTGGGTCTCCTTAATGTACACCCTTAATATGTATTTCTTGCAGCTTTTCTCCGTAACTGTGCTGATGATAAGCTAATGAGCTGCTCCGGCAGAAAAGCGGTGCCTTCTTGCCAGCTCTAAATGGAGGTTTGCTAGGAGGTGATTGAATGAATGAACGGAAGTAGGACCTGACTTAATTGAGGACTTTGCAGACACTCGCTCTGTTAGGAGCAGCCCTCGCTGCTGGTGGCTGAGGGCTGTGTGTTGATGCTGGCAGGCAGTGCTCAGTGGTACCGAACCCGGCTGCCCGCTCACCTGCTGTGCCCGGGACAGATGCAGTAAGTTCCATCACAACTTCTCAATGAGGATCTGCTATGTTGCGGTTTGAAAATTCTCTGATAACTTGCACACTGCGAGCAAAGAAAGATTGAAGCAGTGGGAGCCATTCGTAGCCATCCATCCCAATGGAATCCCATGCTGGCAGTGCCACTTCGTGTAGCGAAGGCAAGAGCTGCATCGTAGCGCCCAGCACACTGCTGTAGCCATCATCTCCTTGCTCCATCTCACCTTTGTAAGTGAGCAAAGGGCTGTGCTGATGGCTCTGTTGCTGGATTCTGTGCTTATATTTTCGTAGAATTCTCTTTCTGTGGTTAGAAAATAGAAGTAACCAGCAAGTTTACTTGGAAGTAGGAGAAAACAGTGAATACTTGCAGGCTGTGGACAGGAAGCAGCTTTTCATAGGGATCCAAAGTGCTTGGAGAAAATGGAATGTTCTGGCAGTAGGATGGATTTTACTTGAATGTATGTATTACTTTTAGAAATATTTGAGGAAAATAACTTGCAATTCAAAGTCTCTTGCTTTCCTGTAATTGTGCATTGTGAGCAGTGCGGAAAGCTTCCCTGTTGATAGGTTGGCGCAACATAATTTCTTTTCCCCAACATCTATCTATTTTTTGGTGTTTCAAAGCCAAATTAATCCTGCCCTGGACCACAGTCAGAAAAGAAGATTTGACCGTAATGGAAGCACTCACTTTTAACGAGTCTTGGACTGAAGCTCTTCTCTCTCCCCACACGGCACCCCAAGAAATACTAAGGGGAAATAGTATGCTTTGCGTCTAGCATTTTGAGGTCCTTCATCTCCTGACACCTTTGATTTGTAAAATAATGCAGTGTGCTGACGTGCGTAGAGTTTGAGTCTTGTTTCTGGGATGGAATGTGGATTTTTGTCTCATTCAGGTGTGAAGTGCTTGGGACAACGGACAAAATGTATGTGGGCTTGGATGTTACACACCCAACATTCGTGACCAAGCAGAAGTGTGTCGTTGTCAGTGTCCTCTTTAAGCGGATTCTGATCGAATGTGGACTCAGTGTGGGGTCTCAGCACCCACACGTAAGTTCTCTTGCCCTTCTGAAGGGATTCTGCTCAGTGAAACTGGCATCCTAAAACTGTGAAATAATCTGCAGGTCAAAACACATAAAATCCCTCTCTTGATTTCAGTTCAGAGCTCATAAGTCCCTTTGTTAACGCAGGAGAGCTCTGAAAAAAAGAGGTAGATGTGAAGCATCTGTTACACATCTTCTAGATCAGCTTTGCAGTTGACTGGACTGCGGATAAAAGACACGCTAAGTGGTTGAGCATTGCTTATGCTGGGAAAACAAATGGAGCTAACAGGGTTTCAAAGGCTTTGAAGCAGTGTTGCTCTCAGAGGTGTTCGCTTGTTTTCTTTGGCAATACAAGTTGAAGCAAGCTAGTTTACTTTATTAGAGGCATAGGGCTACTCTTGTAACCTTCCTCTGACTAAGATGAATTTGGCTGGCTGACCTTATTTCTTACTGGACCACACGTGTTGTGCTGGGCTTTGTTATTTTTTGCTTTCCTCCCCCCCCTTAAGGCTCATCTCTTAAAGGACAGCAGCCTTTTCCATATTTTGTTAAATCTTCCTTTTCAATTTGTGTTTCCCTATAGAGTTGTGTTCTGCTATGATGGAGCAATGCAAATCAAGTAGAATAGCCCAAATTAATTCTTCACATTGGCGGCAGCGTGGTTGCCTGCATGGAATCAATAATGTGTCGTGGAGGGATCAAATTTTTGAGTATAATGTGTGAATAATGCTTGACACAAAACAAAAATTCAGTCATCATAATAGCAATTAGGAAAAAGCTGCAGCTTATCCCAGCTGTAATCTCTGCTAACAATGAAGCACAGCCTAGTAATCAGCATGTATGGTATGAAATGCACTAATAGAAATCACAGTTCTTTGTTATATGTGGGGAGGGTGAAAGTTTCCTTTTAGCTAACTTGTACTGTGTTAACTAGACATCGTATCCTTGAACCAAATTATTGACTCTGCGTGCACTTGTAAAAGCCCTGATCAGCTGTGCATTTGTCCCAGTGCTTGCACAGACGTTAGCACCCCAAATCATGGGTCCTTTGTGTTTTGAAGTAGAACTCTGATTAAATAGACTGCAAGAGTAAATGGCATTGGAAGGGCCGTGTGCCAATACACAAACCTTAGTTTTAATAATAGTAAAAAAAAAAAAAAGAAAAAATAAAATAAAATCCATAGCTCTTGAAAAATGAGAAGAAAAATGTGAGTACCCAGTGGTTGTGTGCGCCAGGGTTGGAGAACCTCCCGAGTTTGATGGGAGGCATTTAGGGCAATGAACGTTTGGTAATTTGAAGCTGGCTGAGTAGCAGCAGTTGGGTTCCCTGTTGCGTATGAGCCTATCTCACCCTGCTCAGGAGGAAAGAAACAACATTTTGGAGTTGGAAAATTGATTCTGTCATGGCAGGCCACAAGTGTGCCCTAACCAAGGAGCAGGGCTTGCAGGCTGGCCTTGGGAGTACATTTGTGAGCAGCTGTGTGTGTGCACATCGGCATGCGGGCATGGAGGGAGACCTGCTGCCAGGCAGGCAAGCCCTCTGATCTGCTTCTGTTGGTAACAATCGTGACACCTGCAAAAGTGAGGCAAGTGCTGGCTGCCCAGAAGCCTCATGAAGGTAGCGCTGCATTGGAAGGAGAGTTCTATGTGTAGCTGGTATCTTTTGTTTTCACTTTAAGGCACCTTTCTCACACCTACCTACTGAAGAACTGTGCAAAGGGAGAGGAGGAGAAATGGCAGGCTGGCTGTTTTTCCCTCCCGTAAGATGGAATTTAATTTTTCCAGATAGTCCCAGCTGGTTTTTTTGTTTCTGTCTTCTGCACTTGTCTAAGACCTTCCCTATGATCCATCATTTTCTAGCTATCCATTTACAAAGAAATACTGTGGATCTTCCCAGGCAGTGGCTTGTTTGAGGAATGGTTGATGCAGGACACTGAAGACCCTGTATTTCCCTATTTATTTGGGTTACCCAGTGGTCTGTTGGGACAGCAATCTTGGCACATGTGGTCTTGGTGTAATTTCAGAGGCCTGTCTAGTCTTGTGACTCAGATGCACAGCACTGGATTCGTGTATTTACGAAACAACAGAAGGTTGTAAAAGCAGGAATCTGAAGAAGACCAGAAGAAATTCTGAAATGCTTCTCCAAATCTGATTAAGGGCAGAGCTGGAGGTAGTCAGGGTAGCCTTCCACAGGTGCCCTCTGCACCTGGACACGGTGAACAGAGGCGTGAGCCACTGGGAGGCTGAACTGCTTAAACCTTTTCAAGAAATGAAGGGCACTGTAGTTGGAGCCCTGAAAACCTAGAGCTCTATTAAATGAAAACTAGTTACTTTTTCTATGAGAAGAAGATGGGTGAAAGGAGTTAGCGGTCCCGATAGGAACACGCTGCTTTGTGTAGCTGCATTGCTGCCAGGCAATCAAATACTTTTAGTATCTGCCTCGATGAGATAGCTGAAAGATTGGGGTAGGCATCTTTATAGGGGATCGTCGTTCTTCATTCCCAGATGCTGGTGAGACACGCTGGTTGTCTGGTTGACATAAGTGCTCAAACAGCCTATGAATGTTTTTCAGCCCGAGTAACATGGCAGAAGAGGAAGCTGATTCTTGGAAATTAGTAGCACTGTAATTTTGGTTTAATACAGTAGAAAGGATGCTTGATACCCCGGCAGCAGAACATAATTTGTCTTCTTTGGAGTTATTGTTAAATTTTATTATCTTTAATAGCTGCAATGTGAACGTGTCAGCCTGTTTGTCATAGCCATCCTGAAAATACTCTCTTATGGTAGAATCTTCGGAAAAATTCCTTTTAAGAGCAGTGCATTATTAATAAAGTAATCCATTAGGTCTGGTGATAAAGGGTCACAGCAGAGTCTGAGATATGTTTCTTAAATGGTTAAGAAATTTATCATGGTTGGAGGATTAATTGATTTCATTTGGAGGCTTTCTTGAGGTTTTCAGGCTTTGTGTTCGGATATAGTTTTCTTCTATCTGCAGATGGGCTTGCTGCCCCAAGTTTTGCTTCCCTATCATTGGCGTGAGCCATTCTGTTCCTGCTAAAGGCAAACTGTTCTTACAGCATTATGACCAATTGCATCCGTGAGAAGCCTTACTTAGGTAGAGAACATGAAAGTTTATGGCAGATAAGGTGTTTCACTTGAAATCAATTCGGAATCAGAATGATGGTATCAAGCATTAAGCGTTG